GAGTTTGCTGCACTGAAAGTAAAGGGGCCGAATAATTTCGCACGCCCCACTTTTCATTTTTTTATTAGTTAAAAAAGTTTCAAAAATCCAATAGATTTTGTTCCACTTCACAATTGTGTCCCACTTGTTGGTGATTCTTCACATAAAATAAAAAATTTATATCTATGTTTGAAGCCTGAAATGTGGCAAAAGGTTGAAAAGTTCAAGGGGGCCGAATACTTTCGCAAGGCACTGTAGCTCTGGTACCCCTTACCTGAACTAACACTAAGCAGCAACATGCAGAAGCCCCGGTCTTCTCCTCAGTCCACTCATCAGCAGCTGACTTCATGTCACCCTCTCTTTTGCCCGTCTCTGAAGCGGGATAAGTAATCCCTCACTCCTCCACCTGACAGCTCTCGGGGGGCTGCTGGCGCAGAGCAGCTGCTGCCCCCCCACACAGAGGGCAGCACAGCAACGGGACGAAAAGGGTCCCTCCCTATATAGTGAGACGTCGCTACACACCTGTAAGGAATAACCATCATCACAGGGCCTGCTGCAGTGTGACCCGAGAATCAGACTGTGCTGCCGCCTTGTTCGCACCCGTTATGATTTCATGCCAGTTGCCTTGGCTAAAATCATAAAGTTTTTAAACAATCTCCCCAAGGGAAAAAAAAATATTTCCCTGGCACACACCGGGAGATTTGCCAGGACTGAGCCAGAGGCCCTGGCTGCTCCGCAGTCCTGAACTGGAAGAAGCAGCTGGAAGAATGAATGAACATGTCATGCACGTACATTTCCCCGGTAGGGAAAAAAACCCAAAACAATCTGGTTTCCAGTACATTTTAATAAGCAGATGTATTATTACATGGACAGTACCTACATAGATGTATACATGTACAAAGTGCCTTCATACCTCAGTCTTCCGTCAAAATCATACTCTCAAGAAAATTTTAATGTTTCCTCCAAGAAAAAACAAAGCACTGGTGTCACTGGTGCCTCCAGTAAGCTGAGTAACTGGAACCGGATTACTCATCTACGTCCCAGTCTGCTCCTGAAGGCCTTCAACGACTTTGCCATCATTGGTGCAACTCCTCACAGGAAGAGGACAGAAACAAAATCTCCATTTTAAAATGGCAAAGGTTACAATGATTTCTTTTCACCCATTTCCTAAATGTTAATGATGTTTTTTGCTTTCACGTTTTTGGGGACCCAGAGGGACAAGGGAACATGGCAGAACTGAAACACGAGGAATACATTCACAGTTTACAGTGCTGTTCCCCCTGACGCTACTGGATAAAACTAATAGGAGAGAAGTTGCAATTTCATAGTTCAGCCAGCAGATGGCAGTGCTCAACAATCTCAACGGGAAAGTATACCCAACCCGTCTTCCCGAATCAGCCAGCCTTTGCTCCACAAAAACAGCAAGTCTCTATCCAAAGAACAGCAACTTTTAACATGACTGTAGTCTGTTTTGGACCTTAAGTCTTGGTGTCATTCATTCTGGAAAATTACGAATGTAAATATGAACGTTTTAGAGACACCTTTTAATTCCAGTGAGACTAAATTCCTTTTTGGGGAAGAGATACAGTAGATAGATAAGACTTTATTGATCCAGAAGGGAAATTGATGCTAGTATATTTCCATAACAACTACTAGTGCAAAACTAAAGATTATCTCACATAAATTACAGTGGTTTAACCTTTGAAACCTTTAACTGCAAAACATGAACAGCTAAAAAGAAAAGATTAAAAAAATAACTAAGTTTTAGCACTTTAGAATAAACTGTTAAAGTTAAATTAGTGAACAACTGACTGTTATGCTAATTCCAATTCTTCTAAAGTTTTTAAAATGATCCACTTACTTTTAACAAGTTTTTTAGGCTCCTGGTTGGTAGCACTGCAGGTGCTGGAGTGTTCATTGCTGAGCTTCAAAAGATCATGTGAACTGGTTTTCACTTTACTGTCTGATGACTTGACACTACAAGAGAAAAGATGATTGTTACAACTAATCTTTTAGTGGCAGTAGTACAAGACTGTGCAGACCTACTATGAAATACCAAAAATCTAACATATCCTATCTTGATGGTCTGTGTATTGTATCTCAAAGTCAGCCCTACAGCTCTTTTAGTGCATTTAAACATGTTAAATCAAGAGGCAGGTCAATGACTACTAAATCACACCCTTGTGGATATTTATTTTATGTGGTTGTCTCCACATGGCAGCGTTCCAAAAGAAATCAGGAGTTTCACTCCACGTGTCAGGTAAAATAAGTCATTCGTCATTAAGTGCCTCAAACAATATATTGTCTCAATACTAAAGTATTAGGACCCATTTATTTATTCAGTAGCATAGAAGTAAAAGAGTCTTTGGATTTTATTTAGCAGTAAAACATTTTAGAAGCCTCATGAACTGCAGTTCCTTGTACATTTGCAGTTAATAAACCACATAAGAGAAAGCTTTCAGAACTCATCAATTTATAATAATTGCTTACACTTATATAGCGCTTTTCTGGACACTCCACTCAAAGCACTTTACAGGTAATGGGGATCCCCTTCATCACCACTAATGCGCAGCCCCACCTGGATGATGCAACAGCAGCCATAGTGTGCCAGAACGCTCCCCACACATCAGCTCTCAGTGGGGAGGAGAGCAGAGTGATGGAGCCAGTTCAGAGAGGGGGATTATTAGGAGGCCATGATTGGTAAGGGCCAATGGGGAATTTGGCCAGGACGCCGGGGGTTACACCCCTACTCTTTTCGAGAAATGCCCTGAGATTTTTAATGACCACAGAGAGTCAGGACCTCAGTTTTACGTCTCATCGGAAGGACGGCGCCTGTTTACAGTGTAGTGTCCCCGTCACTATACTGGGGCATTAGGACCCACATTTAGAAATGCTTTTCCTTTCACCATTACAATGTTTAGAGATATGTACAAGTTGTGCTAATGAACTGCTGTAATGCATCGGCGTTTAACCACTAGACTGACCATTCAAGGGGGGATCTTGAAGAAAAAATATACATACTGTAGCCTAACCCCGAATCTCTCGGCACTTCAGACCAGATGTGAACAGGTTTAAAATGCATGTCACTGATCTCTGGGCCTCTGTATCTTTCATTTCTTCTTATTTATTTGCTTAACAGGCGCCCTTATCTGCACACAAGCGGTATTCTCTAGAGCAGCCTGTCATGACATGGCAAGCATTGCCTTATCACTGCACATTTCTGTTTGGGAAGGGCAGTTGGCTTTGAAAGGACTATCTCATTTTGAAATAAAGTAGAAAAAAGCAAACAGCACAGCTGTTTAAGGTACCTCAGATGTTATGCACCTAGTCACACAAACTACAGTATACAACACCATAATTTCTCAATCCTGTAGTAAATTCTAGGTACATAAACTTTAGCTTTTGCACATGGGAATAAAATAAGATAGCCCATCTTAAATACATTTTATAATATTCATGCAGCGATTGACGTCTAAGACCATTCACCAAGGACTCTTACTTATGAAACAATTTTTATCAATGTAAATCATTCATCCGACACCATTCTAAGGGTTATCTTTCAGAATAAAACTAGAGATCACTTTAACAAGGAAAACTGCATCAGCTCAGATCTCAGATGGCTTATGGGATGATACTGAAAATCTTAAGCAGCCAATTCGAACACCAATAAACGTTAGGCAGGCTTTATAGTTAAAAACGATTTTACAACATTACTTCATAGAAAATGATTTTGCTGGAATCCCTCCAGTAAAGAGCAAACAGATACACCCCCTTGTCCTACACTGACAGGAGCTCAACATTTTCAGTCTTGAATGCTGAAAATTAGAAAGGGGACCTGATACAAAGTATCCAAAGGGATCGACAACGTCAACCCAATGGACTTTTCAGATCTTTTCAGAGAGAGAGAGAGAGAGAGAGAGAGAGAGCGAGCATTTGAACCCAAGACAGCCCACAGGGAGTAGGAATCGGCTTCACGTGTTCAGCAGAAAGGCGCAGGCCCTTGACAGGGGACTGCTGCTGGAGAGGGCGGAGCAGACCTGGGCTTGTCGAGGGGGTGAGGCTGGGAGATCGGCCCTGCTGTCCCATGGATCTCCTGCTGCCGACGGACATCCCTGGGCGGCTTGGCCACGGAGTTGATGAACGCCAGCTTCACCTGCCGACCTGGAGAAACAGCCTCATGTCAACACATCAGGGGGCCATAAAGAAGTGTTGAAGTGCCATTTCCCCCATGTTCCCAACCACATTGTAAGGTTACCTGGAGTCAGCTCTTTTTACCTTTAGCAAAAAAAAAAACTACATTGAGGCTCTTCATACCGCTGTTGCCATTAAAGAAAAAAAAAAAGTCTTATTTGATAGGATTTAATCCTACTTCATCATCTGATCACAAGTCAAAGAAAGCCATGTCTAGTTCACACAAAAGCACAAGATGCAGAATGATTGTTTGAATTATAGCACAAGGTGCAAGACAGTTTAGAAAAGGTGGTTACTGATGTACAAAACAAACTGTTGGGCAAAAAACTAATTTTGTCTTTGGGGAACATTATTCAATCACACAGCTTGTACAGAGGAGTTGCTGGATTCCTACTACCAAAACCTGTTGTGGATTCAAGTCGAGTCACGCTTTCTGACAATGCGCCCTGCGTTCACTGAAATTTAAATGAATGTCTCAAAGAATTTGTTAATTCATATTCAAAAATTATTTTGCATTTGCACACCTGATAAGCAAATCTTTTCTTAACCATAGTGCTGAACTACAAAACGCATTCTGGAAAGAATCATCCAGAATTTCGAAGTAATTGTACTTCACCTCTGAAATAATCCAGAGCACACAAATTAAAACTGTGATCCAGTCCCTCAGAGAGGAAGGTTTACCATTTAACCTTTGTTGACACCACTTCACTTTGAATCTATTTATAGCAGCTGACAGCAGCTGGCAAGCCTGATATACCATAGTCTTAACAAGAAGATAATCAGGATTTAAGTGTGGTGCTGTATTTAACTTTAAAAAGTAACTGTTTGCACTATGAAGGTAGTGATGTAAAGTTGGGGGGGAGAATACATATCAGTATTAACCAACTTTGAATACTATGCCCTGATGATTAAGCTTGTAATTTAAAACTTTTTTTGCTGGATTTAAACGCGTAACCTGTGGCCAGTCATCAGACAGTACATGAATACTGTTATATCCCTTGCCAGCTTTAAATCTATGTGTCTTAAAAATGGCCAAGAGTGAGAGAAGCTTCAATGCAAACATAATACTTCAATCTGGCATGGAGCTACAAATGTGTTCATACAATGTATCTGAAAAAGATCTTATACCCATGATTAATTACTAACTACAAATCTCAACAGACACACTTTTACCTGATCTCAGAGTTTTTGATTAAGAGCCAAGTTACCTGCAGACAAAAGGAGCCTGAAATACTAAGCAGGATGCCAACAGAACTTTTACACTCAGCAGAACAGAACAGGGCCTGGCCTGTACTTCCCAAAACCCAATCCAAGCCCACTGCTGAAGCAGCGTGTGTGGGACTGAACTGCACATGGCAGTGCTTTCGTTTCAATGAGAATTGGGGATTCAAGTCAGGGAAGCTGAGGAAAATCTTTTTATATCATTTTCAAAGTCTTGTGCTCCTCAGTCTAGCTACTCAGAAGGTCTATTCATTTACCTTGCAGTTCCACAACATGTTTGAGCATATCCAACAACTCTTTCTGTAAGGGAATAACACCACAGGGGCAAGGCTAGAACTGTAGGCACCAAGCGGGAAGCTCTTGACACAAACCTTTTGGTTTCCCAGAATGTGCAGAAACAATGCTTTGGGTTAGTTGTTTCAGCTTCTTCTCTCTCTCTTCAAAAAGTCTTAAATACATTTCTCTCCAGGACTCGTATTCCTGAAGCTGGTGGTTCCTGAAGTCCTTCTTGCAGTGCTTAATCCACAGGTGGTCCGTCTCTCCTATGTACACCTGAAGGACCCAATACATTCAAATGTATTCATTCAAAGAAACAGTTTGAATAAGACAAGCTGCCAAGTACTTTGACTTGCAACACCTAGAATTGCGCAATGCAGTGCACAGCCCAGGAGAACAAACAAGACAGTCATTGTTAGAAGTGTGCCATGTCGCATGCACTTCTGACCTGGTTTTAAATTAATTTTCATCTCAGCTGTGAGAAACAGGTGTGCCTTCCCTTCCACACTGGGAGCTGCAAGGGCAGCTGCTGATGTCTGATTCAGAACAGAGCCAGGAAACAGTATTTAAAACAGCAGCAGGAAAAAAAAGAGAAACCATGCCCCTTACACAGGGAATAGGTCTGAAAAAACTGGAACTGACCCCAAACCACAAGATAAAATGTGTCTCATCTCAGATGGGTGACAATGTCACTGTAACCAAGCCAAGGCGCACACTGTAAGAAATGCAATAAGGCAACTCTGTGAACTAATTGGTTTTCAGTAATTGACGTCATGGACAGAAGGAAAATTCTACATGCCAAATAACTGCAGCGAACCTCACAGAACAGCCTCTTAAGTAATTTGTATGTTTATCCTCCAATTACATCTCAGTACAAATGGGACCACAAGACAAATCATGCTTGTGGACTTCAACTGTAGGCTTTATTGTTATCCAGTGCCTATTTCAATGGGACTACATGAAATGTCAACAGAGCACGTAATCGGACTGATCTCTTCTAATGTCACACAGTGAGAAGTCAAAACAAGGCGTCTCCCCCCTTCGTCCCATCTTCAAGCCTCAAGCTCTTACCGGGTTGCATTCTTCAATGCGAAGCAGCTGTTCTGGAGTACAGCGCTCCAGCACAGGCTCGAGAATTTCAAAGGGCACCCCTCCAATCTCGTACAGTACTGGAAGAGACAACTCTGCTTCACCACCAGCCTTGCGCTAAGGCCTCAGAGAGGAAAAAGGGCACTGGCACTTACAGTCAATGTTGTTCTGAAGCGCACGGATGCACTGCTGGTACAGAGTCATCATGGTTGGCAGGAAAGTGGTCTTGGTACCAGAATAAACTTGCATCTTTGTATTCAACCGCTGCCCAGTAAACACTGGGGGCACTTCACAGATACTAGGGACTGCGGGCTTGGCTGTAAACATAACATTTTGTTTATATTAACACATTCCTCCACACACGTATTTTTATTGAATTCACCATATTTGCAACAAGCACCTTCACACTTTCTTCAAATCAACATCTACAGTAGGCTGGGCTGATTGCTCCAGGCTCTGTAAAGAATGCATCTCCTTGAAGTCTGTGCATTACATTTCAGTGAATCCAGAGATATAGTCTTTTCTTAAACATACAGCCTGTAATATAATATACTCAATGAGATCTAGATGCAGTTTTAGCTTCTTGATTCAAACGTCTCACTGTTTATAAGTATTCTGCAGTTTTAATTCGATTTCTGTTGTTTCCCAGTCTACCTCAACAATCGACAATGACATCTTACATTGACAACTCCACATGCAAAACATGGTCCTTTTCATAGATTGTTTCTCCAAGTCCAGTACCACCTCTCTGATACACTGTACATATTCACAGGCAGTACTTTGACTGTGGCATTACACCTTGTATTCTGGGTCACAGACTTTACATTAGCAGAATAGGAGGCCATTAAGGAAAGTCAGGTTGCTGCTTTAGGTGGTGTTACAGGCCAGTAGGTGACATTATCCATTGTGAAGGAGAATATCCAAACCAATGCCAACTAAATTACATGCACAGACCTTTCTTCTCATGGGAAGGGAAAGGAGACAATTCTGACATGAAAGATGGCGCAGGAACATTCAGGACGTCTGTTGCTGATGCAGTTTTAACCTAAGGTGGAAAAATACTGAAATTAGAAAGAGATTGTTTTGACTGAGACAGGCATTTTGGTTCACAAATACTGTACATAATACAGATACTAAAGAAGACTGGAAGTGATTAGAAAAGGTACCATTTTAGGATGTTCCTCCCTGGTGCCTTTGTCATGTTTTGCACCAGGTTTGATGTCCACTGTGTGTTTTGAGGTGGGCTCTGATTTATGCTGACTGCTTTTATGTTTCTTTACCGATTTCTTTTCGGCTTGAGACTTCTTTTTTCTTTTGGGTGACTTGAGGTCATAGCTCAAGTAGGACTCAAAAGACATGGCAGGAGTCTCGAAGTCGTCATCGCTGTGCCCCTCCTTCTCCTCAGCGCTCTTCACATCCTTCACAGCTCCCTTTCCCTCTCGGCTGGATCTCGGGCGGCAGGGTGACTCGACTTTTTTGTTCAGCTTTTGTTTTAGCGAATCCTGCTGCACGGGAGCCGAGCTTGTGCCTTCCTGTGGCTTCCGATCCTTCAGAGAGCTCCTGGCACCAGCCCTCTGCTCCTCTGTCACCGAGTCAAATTCCAGCAGCTTCTTCCTGTTACTCTTAATCCTCGATTTCTCTCCATCGCCAGGCCAAACCTCTGGCGTTTCAGACGTCTCCAGGGAAACTTTTGTAGACTTAACGCACCTTTCTTTTTTCACAGTATCAAGGGCCGTACTGGAGTCTTCCACTGTAACATTTTCAGAATAACGTTTCTCTTTTCTAGCTTTGCATTCTTTTGAGGTCCAGCTTGAAGTAGATGCCGCTCCAGACTTTGGCAACTTCACGCAGTGACTGCTCTTGGATTTTTTGTGTCCAGAATCAAAGTTTTCCAGTCCCTGGTTCCTGCTAACAGAACTAGGTTTCTTCCCAGGAGCCGGTAAACGTGTCCTGTTTTCTTTTTGAAAATTTGACTCCTTTGTTTTAAAGGCCTGGTTATCTGGCAAGAGGTCATCCTGGGTAACACTAAAAGAACAACGGTTAGATATCCATTTCACTGATGGTTTAAAACACACCTTAGAAATCAACCAGGGAGGTTTTAATACTAGTATTTAAGAAATTCAGGGATAGGCCTGTGAAGCTCCATAATGCCATTTAGTCCTGCATATTACGTAGGCAGGCAAGGATTATGACTGGGTTTGATTTCTGCACACAGCAGTGTGTGAAGCTACAGAGCTTAATGTAAAAAGTCATTACCTGCTTGTTTCCCTGGGAACCAGTTTTTTCCACCGATCAACTAATTTTTTGGCTGTTTCACTAGCATTTTCATGCTTCCGGAAGCCATTCACTGTTTTCCCTATTCCTGTTTCCTGTGAAGAACAGGAATTGAAACGGAGTTAAAGATCAAGTAAAACATACAACAAAACAAGATCAGATATGGTGGTTAAACACCGCAAACAGTGTTTCATACCTACTTTTGCCCTCCACAGTTTTTCCTACATCTATAACTTGTTTTCCAGAATATATTTACATTGGTCATTAAAAACATTGCACAAGCACAGATATCCTAGATTATCAGTGTAAAAGATTAAAGGAGTTCTACCCAACTGGAACGTATGAATACAGTATTTAAAAATACATCTACAGATAATCCAACAGTACCAAAGGTATGGAATTCACATTTAAGAGGGTTGACTCTTACCACAAGGATGTCAAGTGTTATATCCAAGTCTTGTAGTCTCTTCAGTGCTTTAATAACCTACGAGAGGTGAAAGGGTGTTTTAACAGGCACTGCACAGGGTCACAGAAAAGACAGGCTGTTAAATTACAAACACAAAAGCTTTCCACCTGCTCTGCTTCCCCCCAACAGGCCAGAGGAGCCTTCCTGCCAGCTGACAGCGCCAAGGCAACAGAGCACAGAAAAACCCAAAGAAAGGGACCTTCGTAGAAAAAGACTGCAAACTACACAGGACAAACGGTCTACAAATGTACTTTATACCTGTTTCCCCAAAGAGAATACAGTAAGAAGAGCACACCAAATAAAACCAGTTCTCGGAAAAGAAGGAGAACTACACCTTATTACTGGATACTGGATAAGTCATTTTGTCAGAAAGGAACTGAAGCACAATGTAATTATTTTTTCAACATTCCATCCCTGTTTCAAGCACGCAGGGGCTAAAAAAAACATACCGAACGGCATCATTTTGAACTGTTAGGCAACAGAAATCCATCCTTTTTCAAACCAAACTAAGTGGGCAACAATATTTAACTTGCATAGCAGTGACAAGGGATCACAGTAAGACTGTCAGATGGATCATCTTTTATTAGTGCCAATCGGACGGATTGTATTGTCCACATGAACACTTGTGCACAGATTCACTTCACAGCTGCGGTTTTTCATTTTTAGGGTGACACTGAAGCTCTTTTGGGGATCTTGTACCCATAAGTGACCGCAACCCCGCGACTAAAATAACGTACTGATGCCAAATGCAGTCCACTCATTCCCAGTTCAAAAGGAGATGTCCATTCATTCCTGAAGTAACCTCCTGTCTAACCGCACAGCACTGAAACCCCCAAAATGAACACAAAAAAGAAGAGCTACCCAAACCATTATCGGTACAAACACCAAATATGGGCAGCACCTCTGAGGCTGCCTAGAAAGCTGGAATGGCTGAGTCCGCACTGAGATCAGGAGCTATCTATGGGAATACCACAGCCTGAGCTACTCCATTTACCACCTACTATAAATGGGCAATGGGGAATGCAGCAGCAGCTAGCTACCTTGTCTGTAAAAAGAATTAGCTGATCTCACAAGCAAGCATTGACGTACAGCATCAAGCTGGAGGGCCAGGAGCAACGAGAGATTTACAGCAGATGTCACTTGGGCCTGGATGACTCGGGTTACACAGTGTCCGCCCCCAGCAGACCCTGCCAGCGTACCACAGACCTGGGGCACCCCAGTCCTGGCGGGCCGAGAGCTACTGCACAAAGCCTGGTTTTTCTTCCCCACTTGTTGGGGACACAGGGGATACTGGTATATGCACCTAGCTGCTGAGAAAGAACTAGTTACTGTAATATAAGGGTACAGCACAGTGCAGTCATTTCCCTGGTGGCTCAAAACACACCTATGAGGCCAGCTAATACAGTTTTAATATGAGTGCTTAAGGAGCCTGGGAATCTTGATTACTCTGCCAATTCACCCTGCATATTCAGAAATAACTGAGCTCTCATGTAGCAGTACTACTGTTCAGGGTACAGTTGCCTACAGCCTGTAGAAAGCAAGAAGTGTGAGCTATTTTTATACTCATTCCAATATCATTAATCACAATAATAAACTGGTGCAGGTTATCATCGGAGGAGACTCACTTCATGCACCACTGCAGTGCTGCTCCCCCTTTGTCACACAGGGCAGCCGTTCTGTACAGGGCAGGTCAGGTGAAGAGGTGAGAAACTCTTCCACCAGCCCAGTAGAGCTCCACTAACCAGGATGAGCTCTGGGCCCATGAGCCACTGGGCCCTGGTATAGACTGGACATCAGAGGTTTACTAGATGCATCTTTTTTCTACATTTATTTTGCAAAAGGAGCATTCTCATCACACATTTTAAATTTCTTATCTCAGCTTATCACAGATTCTCTCAACATTCACCATTTAGAGAAGAAATTAGATAAGTTGAAACAGCAGAAGTCCTATTTTGCTCTTATATTGATCACAAGAATAATATTCTTCCAGTAAGTACCTTTTAAACTAAAAGCAATTAAAAAAAACAATAAACCACTTCGCTCTTAACATATTTAAAATCTAAAGTCTGGTATTGCTAGCCACTGTATCCATATAAACCAAAATAGAACGAGCTACTCAGATCGCTAGCACCTGTCAGGCCTGAATTCACAGGGACACCCAACAGAAGTTAAACTACAGACTCCAATTCAGCTCACATCTGCTGAGCGAAGACACAAAAGCCAAGTTCGATTTCTTACAAACGTGTTCTCGTTTTTAAGTAAGCTGCAGAGGGACAGGTTTTTGAGTCTTACCACACCTTTATCATACCTTCCTGAAACCTTAACTTGCGCCTCCAAGCTGTCTGCACAATTCGTTCGTTCCCTTCATGTGAAAAGGTTTGAAACCACATGTTTTTGGATAAAGCCAGTCCGTACAATTTAAGAATCGACTCCAACTTGAATTTACAAAATTAAAAATACCCTTGTCGTATCTGATAACTTTGAGGCTTGGGAATCTTATGAACGGGCAAAGAAGCGTGCCTGTTTATTTAGGTACGACAACAATCAGTCGGTAGCACTGCGTATTTACCTTTTTACATTCCGTCGCTTTATTTAGTTTTTGTTTCAATTCAAAAACTTCTTCCAAAACATCTACAGCAGCCATTACAATTCGGCAGGCTTATTTTACAGAGATCCTGCTCTTACTAACCCAAAGGCAAAAATCCCGCAATGCCGTCTTTTTATACAGGGCGGTGCCTGTGCGTGGAAGAGCTTGAGGAGCGAAATTGCTTTGGACGAAGAAAAAACCTGTGTCGAACTGTGATTCAATAACACGTCTTTAAACTGAAATTGCGCTGCGGCGCTCTATCGCCTCATGTAGGCTAGACAACTATCAATCTCGGCCTGTTTTAGTTGTTACTGCTGCACAGTGATGTGAAATGCGCTAAGAACTTTTTTATGATTTTTACATTTAAAGCCAAGTCAATTTCCGAGTTTCGCCGGGTTGTACGGGAAGCACGCTGGGATATAAATTGGGATAGTATGTATTGGGGAGGGGCTTTCGTGGAGGATCCTTAAATAAATGATCTTTTACATTCCTTAATGAGTTATAGTCACTCGTCTCATTTCTAACTATACTTTCAGACGTTTCCCATTGTTAACCATCACACTTAGTCTTTTACTGGTGTTGGTGTTGTAATATTGATAGCACTGTTCTTATTTGTTTTAGGGTGCATTTAAATATCCATATTTGCCTTCCTATGTCTATTTAATCTGCAATTCCTCTTATTCATTTTCTTTAACCGCATCCTGTTATTTTTTATCGTTTCCTAAAGCTCTTTCTCATTTCTAGATATTTTATTGATTCAGCCCTTGTGGGTTTTCGCTTTCTTGATTTTTGATTTGCCTATTGCGTGAATCTGCTTTGATACTGAAACACAGCATCTCCGCGCTTGCAGTTCCTAATAACCCTCACGAAACACTCCACATTAAATGCAATTTCCCAGATGTTTGTCACTTGAATTTTGACTTTTGTAAGTTCCTTTTCACAGATTTACGTCTTTAAAAAAGATTAATTAAAAAAAACCTAGTAGAAATATGTAAATGCAAATAAATCATTTCAAAGTTACCACAGAAAGTTTCTTAATAACCCGAACCCGAAGAAAAGAAGAAACATTTTCATCTCAGTGAGGCCTTACCATTGCCCGCAGCCACCTTCTGAAGTCGTTAGCCGGAGTGGGCGGACAGCGAGCACTGCACTGGGGATCAGCCCCCGAAACTGACGGGTTCGAGCCCTTGTTGGGGTCCTGGCTGTGTATGTGCGGCCAACATTCAGCGTTTCACTTGGACTATTTCAGTAACCTATCCAAATAACATGGACGAATACTGTTATTCGCCATTGCCAAAACGATCTTCGTTGACTCCTGGGTAGAATTAAAGAAACGTTAAGGAAATTGGCGTTTTACGTTGTGTGTTTTTTCTTGACATCACGGCAATGGTGTTCATTTTCACAAACGGAACTGAAATCGTGAGCGACATGATCATCATGCATGCAGCCACCCAGCGGCACCACAAACCGGAGCCTCGGTCCGACCCGGGGGTCTCACACTGCACATCAGGGCTATACTCCGTAACGTAACATACTGTGCTTGGGCAATTATACAAAGGTATTTTTGAATATTGTCCTGTGTTTTTTTTTTATTACTTTACAGTGGTAGCTGTCTGTGTCACACGGTCTCCCAACAACTGGCTGTTTGAGATTTTTTTAAATAGTTCGCTTTCTTAGCATTGTGAGGTTGTACATTATAAATAAACAGCCAGGTTTATTTCAGCGTTAGGTTGTGACTTATCGAAGCCAGAACTACATAACCGGAGCAACCATGTGCCACCAGCCACTGTTACTGTCCTGAAACGCACTGACCGTTAAAGCGCGGTTACCGTTACAGGTGACACCCAGGTGACAAGCCAAACACCTCCACTTATCTGTGAAGAATGTCCTAAAGCTACTGCACCCGTCATGGAGTAATATCACAGTTCTAATTAATGAGAAGCTATGAATGAAACGACGCGTTACTGGACTCGTTAGACCTTCTTGCCCCAGCTATTGTCAGAACCGGGGGGTATTTTTGGAACTCCCCTCCCCGCGTCGCGCAGCCTCTGTCGTGCCCCCGGGCTGTCAGAGGAGGAGTTAATCTCCAGACTAGTTTGGCTCCACTGGGTATAGCCCATCTTTCACTCTCTACCCCACCACTACTGCCACTTGGAGGGACCAGGTGTTTTCCACCTACTTTGCCTCTCTTTGAATATCTTTCCTCCAGCTAAAAGGTGAGTGCCGTTAGGATCTCTCCGATATGACCCCTTGCCTACTGTTCTGGGTGAATTGCCTTTTGGGTGAGGAAACTAATTAAAATGGAGCCTGTATAAATAATATTTCAAGGCCATCAATGTTAAAGGAGTTCTGTGAGACATGCAGTACTTCATAACGTAACGTGTTTGGATTGTTAGTTTGTAATTCGGACGCAAATTCAGTTCATTGTGATCGTGCCCGACTCAAAAGTGCCGTTTTTAAGTAATGTCAACGAATTGTTCAAATACAACTGTAGTGTAAGTTCAGCTGTCTGCGGGTTTTTTTTTTTTGGAATGTGGCTTTCTTGCTCTAAACTGTTGTGGTTGAAAAGTGGTTTGTTAAAATACAAAATGTCACTTTTGTGGAGTGTAAGGGCACATTAGCTTTCATGTTACCCCATCTTTAAAAGGAATGCTGAGTGAGAGCCTTCCAGGGTTGCTATTCCGGGAGCTGCTACTGATAAACTGTAACAGATGCAACTGCAAGAATGCGCTCCAGTAACAGTTCAGTGACACTTAAACAACTCAAGCTACCATGCTGTCTGCGTGGACTACCCTTAGTGTTAAATGTAGCGTTGTATTGTATTTTTAAAATCATTTGTATTAGTTTTTATGGTATGCCTGAGATCTGTGAGTTTCCCATCTCCTCCTAAAAGGAGCCTATGGGGGTTAATGTGATTCAACATCTTTGAGAATTTGCCCGTCGAGTCTTCATTCATAGGGTTTATCATGGTGATATGAGTTGTATAGAAAACCATGAATATCCAGACCATAGTGCTAGTTTTTTTTACTGTAGCACAGTAAAACAATGCGATAAACATAAATAAGACAAATCCCAATTTTAATTTACAAAAATACATTTTGGCTTCCTTGCTGAACCTGTTACAGTAGTTTCATCGTTAATGGTCTCTGCCCCATAGAAAATAAGCATGTTCTCAAGGGAAACCTGTAGAATCAGTGTTTCTGCCAAAACCTTCCTTTGTAAACACACTGTGTCCTCCGCGTAGCCAGCCTGTCTCTCTTTCTTGTGACACACTTTCCAAATACTAACTTTGTATCGTTCACGAAAAACCATGATATATCTTTCTTGTAGGTCTTGGCTGTGACCCACAGCTCCAGTCATGGCACCTAAGAAGAAGAGCGCTAAAAAGAACAAAGGGGATATAAATGAAATGACCATTATAGTGGAAGATGGCCCGATGAACAAACTAAATGGGCTGAACACTCTTTTAGAAGGGGGAAATGGCTTTAGCTGCATCTCCACTGAAGTTACTGACGATTTGTATGGGACAAACCTCATGGAAGGCCTGAGCAAGACGAGGCAGGAAGGCTTTTTGTGCGACTTGACCATGGCCACCAAGACAAAGTCTTTCAGCGTTCACAAAGTGGTGATGGCCTCCTGCAGTGAATACGTTAAAAATGTCCTCAAAAAGGATCCATCCATCCAAAGACTGGATCTCAACGATGTATCGCCTACTGGCCTGGCCTCAGCCATCACATATGCCTACTCAGGGAAGCTCACCTTGTCGCTGTACACCATTGGTAGCACCATCGCCACTGCCATTTTCCTGCAGATCCAGAGCCTTGTTAAGATGTGCTGTGATTTCTTGATGCAGGAGGTCAGTGTGGAGAACTGCATGTACGTGGCCAACATCGCAGACACGTACGGACTCAAAAGCACCAAAGAGGCTGCGCAGAAATTCATAAGGGACAATTTCATTGAGTTTTCAGAAACAGAACAGTTCCTGAAACTCACATATGAGCAGATCAGCGATTTCCTCATGGACGACGCCCTGCAGCTGCCCTCTGAAATCATGGCATTCCAAATCGCGATGAAGTGGCTAGATTTCGACCAAAAGCGGGCAAAGTACGCAGCTGACCTTCTGAATAACATCCGTTTCGGTACCATCTCTGCCCAGGACCTCGTGAACTACGTCCAGACCGTGCCGCGGATGATGCAGGACACCGAGTGCCGCAAGCTGCTCGTCGATGCCATGAATTATCACCTGCTCCCGTACCAGCAGAACCTGCTGCAGTCCAGGAGGACCAAGGTGCGCGGTGGCTTCCGGGTCTTGGTCACCGTGGGCGGACGCCCAGCCTTGACGGAAAAGTCCCTCAGCAAAGACATTCTCTACAGGGATCCCGACAACATCTGGAGGAGGCTGACGGAAATGCCGGCGAAGAGCTTCAATCAAAGTGTAGCCGTCCTGGATGGATTCCTTTACGTAGCTGGCGGTGAAGACCAGAATGATGCCAGGAACCAGGCCAAGCATGCTGTCAGTAACTTTTGCAGGTGAGCTTTTGTTTTTTTTTCTTTTAAATTCAGTTAGACTTGTGGGCCAGCCTCCATCCATAGTCCTGTTGGATTGAATTAACTAGGGGACTGTTGGATTTTACATGTTGACACCGCTATCCTACAATGCTCTCCATGTAATGAAATCAAGGGTGATGGTAAACCATAGCAGACTTCAAGTGATCTTTTATTATTTTCTCTACGCTCTGCAGATACGATCCTCGTTTCAACACTTGGGTCCATCTGGCTGACATGACCCAGAAGCGAACCCACTTCAGCCTCAGCGTCTTCAACGGTCTCCTCTTTGCTGTGGGAGGACGCAGCTCGGAGGGCTGCCAGGCTTCAACTGAATGCTACGTGCCGTCATCCAACCAGTGGCAGATGAAGGCCGCCATGGAGGTGCCAAGATGCTGTCATGCCAGCACAGTCGTAGATGGCAAGATTTTGGTCACTGGAGGCTACATCAACAATGCCTATTCCCGCGCGGTGTGTGCCTATGACCCCTCAAGCGATAGTTGGCAGGATAAGGCGAGCCTGAGCACTCCCAGGGGCTGGCACTGCGCTGTGTCCCTTGGCGACCGCGCGTACGTCTTCGGTGGCAGCCAGCTCGGGGGCCGTGGGGAGAGAGTCGACGTCTTGACGGTTGAATGCTACAACCCCCACAGCGGGCAGTGGAGCTACTCGGCCCCGTTACACACGGGGGTCAGCACGGCCGGAGCCGCCACGCTAGATAATAAGATCTACCTGCTCGGGGGCTGGAATGAGATTGAAAAGAAATATAAGAAGTGCATCCAGGTTTATAACCCTGATCTCAACGAATGGACTGATGAAGACGAGCTGCCAGAGGCCACAGTTGGCATCTCATGCTGTGTTATTACTGTACCCAGTCGCAAAACGCGAGAGTCCAGGGCAAGCTCTGTGTCATCAGCTCCAGTCAGTATATAGATGACCATACCATAGGGATTTACAGTACACCATACACAGATCAACACAAGAATATCCCCTATCCACACAAGAGATTGCTTTAGGTGATAACTTTAAAATAGCCAAATAAACAGGATTGTTTACATCTATGATAAAACAATTTATTAAATATAGTAATTCAGATGTAATAAAGTAATTTATTGATCACTTTAACTTCTGCGTTGCACAGTATTCCTCATATTTTCAACAGATTTACTTTTCTAAAACGTAATTTTATACCTTCAGTGGTAAAACATCTGAGATCTGGTACATTATGTGAATAAAATAGCTTCTGCATAAGCTAAAAAAAATAAAAATAATGTGAAATTTATTCAAAGATGTGTCAACCAAATAGAACTTTTAAAGTCAACTAAATTAAAGTTAAATTTAACGAAGAAAAGTACACACTTTAATATCTCACATAAAACACAAAAACAAAAGTTTGTCTTATCAATTGTTTTTTTTCTACAGATCATAAGCTTACATAAGCAATGTGGATTTTTTTTTCTTTTCAGGATTCAGATACATTTATCATGTGTAAAGCTGTGAAAAAATATCTAAAAAAAGAGAAAAATATTTGGAAAGAGGGAACATGAAAGTACCTAGAAACATTTGTACAGTACGTCCTAGCCTTTGTAACATTAATGTAGTGATTAGACTATGTGTGTAATAAAGATGAAAAATACATTCTAACAAAGAATAGACAATATTTCACAAAAAAAAAAAACTTAACATGTAGGAAGGACATAGAAAGCAAGCTCTTTTTCCCACTGGGGCCAATAACACATTTGAGTTTTTATCTGTCCTGTTTCCTTACTGCTTTCCCTAGAGTTTAACTCACAGCAGTGGTGTGGCTGTAACTACTTTCACAGCACGTTATTTTGGTTGGAAAAGGGAGAAAACTAGCTGCTGCCCGGTCTGGTGTAATGGTACTTCACTGGGGCTGACACCAGTGTGTGCTTTCTGTGACCTCACACAGCCACACAGCACCCGCCCTCCTCTTCAGGTGCTAAAGAGACGCAAACAGCCCCGTTTCCCAGACCAGGCAAGTGACGCTGCCAGTGCTGGATGCAGGGGATTTGTATACATGAACTAGATGTTTCAGCCCTGCTTTGTAAAGTAAGGAAGCTGCATACTAACAGTGCCCTGTGGCGGACTGGCGTCCTGTCCAGGGCGTACCCCATCTTGCGCCTGTTGCTTGCTGGGATAGGCTCCAGCTCCCCCCACTACCTTGAATTGGATGTAGAGGTTAGAAAATGGAAGGATGGATATAATAACACCCTGAAATTAGAAAGCTCAAAATGAAATAATGTCCTATGCACATGCAGATACATATCCCAGCAGCATGTCTGTCATATGACACAGCTGTCATTCAGTTTAAGACTTTAAAAAACTGGAATCCTTAATCTAAACCAGGGGAAAGGCTTTCCTGGGTACTAAAATGTTTTAAAAATGATCAAGTTCTCTGGAAGTTTACCTACCAGGAGTAGGTTTACAGTAATAAAACAGTTGACGTAGATATTGCTGCTAGTCTTATGTAGCACACTGTAATATACTGACTGAGTAAACCAGGATGAGAAAGAAAGATAAACTGGAACTGCAGGGAGGCGAATGGGACTGTGAAGGAGCCGAGAGAGGTGTGAATGTGTTTGTTAGAACACGTGGAGCACGTTTTCAGCCTGGGCTGCTGCAGGGAAGAGCACACGGCTTACCCCCGCCATTTCACGCGCTCTCCGGCAGCTCATGTCGTTAAGTGTCTTTTCTTTCAAATTAACGAAGCGAAACGGATGCAGATCTTACTGATGCAGGGTGAGGTGAAAGAGAACTGGAACGCTTTGTTTCCAGAGGGTGTATGTAAAAGATTGGCTCCCATGTTGGGTATTTGACTGAGTTGGTATATCTCACCTCCTGTATTGCAGTCATGTTAAGAGCATTGCATCTTCATTAAAAATCTCCATGAAAACAAGCTTTGTCAAATTTTGCTTGATTATTAAACTATAGTGTAAAATGCATGCAGCTAACCAAATTATCTCACTGTGAAATATAAAGATTGTTTTAGGTTTTTTTATGGAATCGTTTCTTTAAGACAATAAGGCACATTTTGTTCATTTTAAGTTGTTTTTACCACAGTTTATACAGGAGGATAGATACAGTATACTGGCTCACCACAGTACAATCCAGTTTACCTGTACGATGGATGTACACTAGCATTGTAATGCTTTAAACCAAAATGTAAATAATAACATGTAAAGGAAAACAAACGACTGGTAAAAATGTTTGAACGCTAGTGATAAAACAAAAGGTAAGAAAAGAGATTGTTTGGTCTGAGCAGATATCACCTCCCCACCTCATTGTTTTAACACAGGGTCCTTCCTCTCTTAGCCAAGGTACCTTCGCTTTTACAGCCACACTGATATTCCTAAACACATGCTGAGGGAAGATCAATGTACTGTATCCCGGTATCATTCCAACATCCAAAGCAGGCCAGCACAATGAGACTGGCAGTAGTAATGTAGCTGTGTTGTGCATGGGTGATCACCAAGGAAAGACCTGCTTACTTTCTTAATCAGTCCTTAGCTCCACTCAGTGTATCAGTCAACCTTTTTAGCTCATGTGCCACATATTTAATAGCAGAGGAAATAGGACTACATATAAACTGTATTATTGCATAAACTCAGCCACATCACAGACTTTGTTGAACTGCAGAAGCACCACAATCAAACCCATCTCTAAGAGGAGTTCCCATCAGGTTCAAATGAAGAACAATCCAATAATAAAACAACATTGAAATGTGAAGACATAATCTAAAGACCGCTATAATCTAGGAAAAGGAATTTTAGTACCAAAATCATATTGCAAAATAAACCACAATTTCACTTCACTTTGTTCATTTCACATGTATATACTGTACTGAACCAGCAGGCTGAGAATCTTAGCTTCTCAAAAACACTTGTATGCAAAAACCAGTGGGTTCTCCTCAAACTCTAATCCACGTATAAAACAGTTTCTGGCTGAGCCACAGCGGGCATTCCAAGACATTCGGAGTTACAGTCCGCCTAGCTGCAAGAATGTGCACAAACAGCCTTTGAACCATTCAGGAGTCGTTCCAGGTTCACTTTTTCATGATAGTGCTGTTTCTGAAACACATTACAGGACAGCAATTAATTTCTGATACAATTTCACTTAATGGTAATCAAGCTGATGTATCTAAAAATCAAAAATGCATTTTTCTGCCACCAGTATTATCATTGTGACTGAATAATATATATTCCATGAAGCAAGAATCAACACAGAAATTGTACTTTTTAATAACTGTTGCACTGCACTGCCATCCTCTGTTTGTATATGAGTCAATTAAACTGAATTTATTTTCTGTCAGGAATCGTTCATGCTAAAACAGAAGTGAAAGAAAATAGGAATTTAAATTTCTATATAACTTACAACTTGTCAAATACTAAAATACTTTATATGTAACAACAACAGCAAGCGATTTAGTTTAGAAAACTGAGGTGATCCATTTTGAGACAGATTTCATTAGTTCTTGTACTGTATTCTCTGTTATTCCTATTACTACTGTACATTTATTTTTTGCTGAGTCAGAATGTGCTAGCAAGGAGGGGCATTTTTACATTCCAAGGACGAAAGTGTTATGCAATGCAAGCCATAGTGCACAAACCTTAGACACCGTAGACACAATCCATAGTTACAATAGAAGTGGGGAAGAAATCAAGCTTGTCAACCAAACTAGGGTGGTTCAGAACAAAGCAAGCTTTAATTCACATTGATCAGAATCTTTAGACAACATTACATCATCTCAAGGCAGACAATACACGAGCAGGCAATTTGAAGTTTTGTAGGAACTAACTTCACATTTATAAATAAACTCAATTTAATTGACTCATTGTCACATGTCTCATGTCAATCACATATTTTATTTTTCTGTATAGATTCACAATGCAAAAAGGGTTATTTTGGTATTTCAAATACTCAGATTTATCAAGATTAACCATTAAAAAATTAAAGTAAACATTTCCGTGTTCCATCCACCCATTGTTTAACTGCTTCATCCGGTTCAGGGTTGTGGCTTGCACAAGGCAGGATACACCCTGAACAAGACGCCAGTCCAGCGCAAGACAGACAGACAGACAGACAGACAGACAGACAGACAGACAGACACACACCTGTACATATTTGGAGTGTGGGAGGAAACCGGAGCACACAGAGGAAAAGCATGAGAACACAGGGAGGACATGCAAACTCCACACAGACAGTATCACAGATCGAGAACTGAACCCAGGGCCCTAGCGCTGACAGGCAGCAATGCTTATATTTGTTCAAGTAATTCTGAATTTAGCTGGAGAAAGTCCAATCTTTGCCAATTCTTCTATTTTGGTGTAATCCATAAACTTAGCAAGTCTACTACTAATAATAATATATTTTATTTTATATAGTGCATTTAGAAGTGGCTTCTCAAAGCACTTTACAGAGAGAGAATTAATAAATCCACAGTGAGAGGAGACAGTAGAAGTAAACAGTTACATAAGGGTTTGGAATACAATTGGAAAGCAAAGGGACAGACACAGAGACAGTTAAATAAAGGCCCTTCTAAGAAGAAGGCTTCGAGTCTGGATTTGAAACAGCTCTGGGGAGGTGACTGATATAGGGATAAAATGACAGAATTTGGAGACATAGGAAGAGAAGGCCCTAATGCCCACTGAATGAAGACAGGCTTGGGGGACAGACAGGAGACCAGAATTAGACAAGCAGAAGTTGTGAGATGGGGAGTAGGATGTTTGTAACTCGGACAGGTACTGAGGTGCCAAGCCATGCAGAGGCGTATAGGTAGTATGAGGATTTTGAAATCAACACAAAACCTGATAGGAAGCCAGTGCAATGACTCCAGGATAGGAGTAATGCAATCACTTGCAGAGGACCTGGTCAGGATTCAGACTGCCAAGTTCTTGACATATTGTAGTTTGTTCGAGCAGCAGTTAGTGACAACACAGGACAAGGTGAGGTGTCATTTCTGAGATAGAAGAATGATGCATTTACACTATGTTGCATATGTGGGTCAAAAGGCAAGCCTGGATCAAATATCAATAACCCCCATGTTCTTCAATTTAGATATGACTTCAGTCTTGTTGCAGTTTAAATGAAGGAAAGTTTGAGTCATCCGTGTTTTTATGTAAGAGATGCAATTAAAGAGAGCAGAGACTTCGGTGTCAGGTTTAGTTTGGATGTAGATTTGAGTATCATCAATTTAGAAATGATAATTTAGACCATGTGATCTTAATAACTCATCAAGCAGGAACATGCAAATCCTGAATTGCAGGGGCCCAATATCGAGCCCCAAGGAACTACAGACCCAACAACTCCAATTTCAGAACTAAAACCACCAAGAGAGACAGACAAAGTGCTAGCGATCAGGAAGGTAAAACTTGAACCCTTTAAGATCAGTATCAGAAACTCCAAACACAGTCTCGAGAAGATATCATGGTTAACAGTGTCAAAAACAGCACTGAGGTACAGAAGAATAATCATAGAAAGAGAACCAGAATCAGAAGCCATAAGACGTTAGTGACTTTAACCAGGGCAGAGTCTGTGCTGTGCAGTTGTCTGAAGCCAGATTGGAGGGTTTGAGAGGTTATATGCAATATGAGGGGGTTAACTAAATTGTAACAGAACGTTCCAAAGTTTACTGACGATGCCTGAGGCTAGATCATTGAAAAAAATTAGGACAAGATATGGTCCAAAAATAGATTTCTGTGGTGCTCTGCTAGTTTCATCAACCCAATCTGAGTATTGACCCCTAATCTCTCCCATCACATTGTCTATACATTAAACAGTTTTTAACTCATGGAAGTACTCATTTTCAATGCTTACCTCAATTTAAGACTTGATTTTTAGGATAAACTTTGTCAAAATCATACAGAAAATCTTAATTTATTAAATGATCTGTTTGCACCCATAATTGTTTTTGCTTGTTCAAAGAAGTCCAATGACTAATTTAAGCAAGGCCTTTTCCAAATAAATGCCGTTACATAAAAAATTATTTCCAAATCAATGTCATATTCCTCAAAACTATAGTTGGGTAATTTACAAGATTTACGTTTGTCATGAATTCAGGTATTGCTTAAGCCTACTCTGGTGAGGTTTTAGAATCAATCCTAACCAAAATGGTGTTTTTTTTCAAATCTGTAACAACTGAGTCAATCAAGAAACATGATTTCCTATTTCTGACAGTAAAAAACTAGAAACTACCAAGATTTTACTTAGTGGTTTTAGATTTAATTTGAGAAATTACAGACTGATAGAAAACAAATAGAAAAATATACCCTAGAAGCCAGGTCACAGTTCAAAGTCAACGTTTAAAAAAGAAAATGTCTACCATTTCTGAAATAACAGACCTCCAGGCCAATTTTTCAAGAAAAAATGTAAAATGGTTGGGCAACTGCTTTTGTTATTTCTGTAAAAGGGAGAAAAAGAAAATTATATGAGCACCTTCCAACAACCAGGTGGAACGACTCCACTCGTGAAATGATTTTGAAAAGATCTCTAAATCCCTTGAACTTTCTGTGTGTGTTTTCTGGGTTGAAATAGTCAAACCCTTTTGTGAGGGCTAGCCTGTTCAATATTTTCAGCTTATTCTATGGACTTGGATGGGGAAACTGCAGAAACATATGCTCTAAGGTTTAGTGTACAAAGATACAATGATTTATACAGTGCAAAGAGAACTTTAAACATAAAAATCAACAGGCTGCCTTTTTCCTAGAGTCGATTCAATAAATGTACAGTACTTACACTACAGAAGGCCTGAGGGAAATTTGTTTTCTCTCTCCCTGAGATGACTTATTTTGTGGTTGGAGTAGGTGGGGCGGAGCTGTGGTTGGAAGGTTACTGGTTCAAATCCCGCAGCCGGCAGAGGAATCCTACTCTGTTGGGCCCCTGAGCAAAGCCCTTAACCCCGACTGCTCCAGGAGTGCTAATCAATGGCTGACCCTGCACTCTGACCCCAAGCTTCTCTCCCTGTCTGCGTGTCTCATGGAGAGCAAGCTGGGGTACATGAAAAAATGAATTGCTAATGCAAGAAATTGTATAGGGCTAATAAAGTGATGTTATGTTAGGTGTTGGTGTTGCACAGGGTTAGGTTTAATCCTGTTTAGTCAGTTAGTCATAACAGCACAAGTAGTCGGGCCGTCGACTGTTGGATGCAGCCAAAACGGTAAAGATTAAGTGTAAGGGGTGAGGAATAAATTGGAATATTTCTCTGACATGGGTGCCGCTGTGTGCCGAAGTCCCACACATGCTAATTCAAGGTAATGTAAACCTTTTTACTTATAAACTTAGAATAACCCCCTTTAAACGGTACACGCATCGGGGAAGAGATTTGAAGCCAGCCAACTGACAAGCAAGTCTCTTCGCTTTTACATTTCGCCGAGTGCTCGCTCCGTATGATTGTTCATTTTGTAACAAACCCCTTTTCCCTTGAAAAATTGAGAAACTGTAAAAAAAAAATCCTACGTTTGTCGAAAGCAGCCTCACATACTCCCGTTAGCTACTGGGATAAGACAGTATAACACGCTGCTTTTGGGAAGAAACGCCTATCTGCATCGCCTTAGACACTTTAAAATGAAGAGATATACATGTTAGTGTTTCTTTTTTTTCCATGCCGTGTCATTCGTTACATTTATTTCGAAGGAAATTCGAGGTTACAATATAACTAAGAATCGAAAATGCCTTTGATCCACATGAACCCGGGTCGCTGAGCAGCTTCGTTGAAGCTTTTGTGAAAAGTGCTGAGTCACGCCATGACGTCCAGTTCCTCCTCCTCCTGACACGATCACGTGTGTCCACTCATTGCAAAGTGCTTGAAAGAAAAAGGGTTTTCGGTTTCACTAATTCAATACAGTTAGTAGGAGAGACGCCGAGAGAGGAGAGAGGGGTGTTTTATAGACTGGAAGCCGACTATTTAAATCTCTCTCACTCACCGATGAATCTGGGGACTGGCATCCCAACCTCCAGCTGACTGATCGCTTTCTCTCTCTTTCCTGTGTCTCCGACCTCAGCAGCACATTGCGGGAATCGCGGCGGTTGGGGGGGGCTGATAATCTTGAAAATTTATGTAACTGTTCGTTAAGAAACACAGTTTTTAATATTTACGTGGGAAGGCCTCGTGCTCTGTGGCTTTGACTACCCTCTATAAACCGGTCACGTCTGGAAATCGCTTTCCAGCGCAGAGGATCGAAATCTGTAGAGATCCGAAACTACAAATCCAGGATCTGGAGGACGCTGCAAACTTGCCGTCTCTACAGATAGGTGATTAAAAAAAAGCACCGGGGCAGTTAGCTGTCACTGTTTCAGGTTGATATGGGCTTGCTGTCACTAGGATCGCCATTGACCTGGGAAGAGACCAGAGAACACGCAGATCATGTTCGGAAACACGGTATCATCCAGTTTCTGAACATCTACAACCAGGTGAAAGACCGACAGAAAGACGTGCTCAAATGGGGAGACGAGGTACTGTAAGACTCTTGTTGAACATTTGTTCTGTTGAGTGTAAATGAAACGATCGCGATCGGGTGTATGATGTTCTTCTTGTATCCTTTTGATGTGTTTTTTTTTTTTTTAAATAAGAATCATGCCCAAACCTCTTACCCTTTATTTACCACCAGATTGCGGTGCGATGTTGCAGTGCCGGGACGAGCAGAGTGATGTATAGACGCAGGCCCTTGAGCTTGAAAGTTGGAATATACTGTATTTCGTGCTCTGTATTAGGATTCCGCAGGTGCAGGCATTGTATTGGGGATGTTTCGTCTACAGGGTATGAGGCAGCGACACCATGCCGTAAATGTACACATCTAGTGCATTGCAATAGAATTGCTTCTTAGAAGATCCGTTACATCCGTGTGTACAGTACGGCACAACATAACCCATGTGCACAGAGTGTGTTGTAGGAAGGCCGTTTTCTCAAATGAGCGGTTGGTACTAGCCTTCATTATTTTCTACAGTCGCCGCCTGCTTCATACTGTACAGTTACACTTCTGAAATGCATGTGGTTCTTCCAACGCTTCACTGATTTTTTTTAATTTACAGTATGTAAACATTGAAATATTTTGTAGTCTGCTGGGATTTGATTGGCCATTAACGTCAGTGAGCGAACCCATTCAGATTTCTTTTCTTTTTTTCACCTGCATAAAAAAGTACGTGTTCCACTGTCGAACATACTGTAGATTTACACGAAGCAGGGTTGCATCTGGATGTGTTTGCGTTGCCATGTGTCCTAAGAGTTTGAACTTAATTGGAGGTCTGGACTGTAGTCGCTGTGTACAGGCAGCCCATAGGACACACATCTTTGAAGTACTCTCTTGGAGTTCATTGCATGGGTTTTGATGAAAGGTACTGTAACATGTAGCGGAAAAAATATTTTTTCTGGTATCTGTCTTATAAATTAGTAAAGGGGAACGTCTCGTATCAACACTTGACCGCCGGTATTCGCCTGTGAGCACCAGCAGAAAACAGTTTTTTTGTGATAATTAGCAGGTCCCACTGCAGTGCAACAAACATGTGGTCTCTTCCAAAAGATTTTCTTGATAAAACACGCTTTAGACATGTGCACTAATGTAAGTAAATCATTAAAACTCTCGGGGAAAAAAGCAATGATCAGCTTACAATGATTCAATTTTGTGAACAGTCGAAACGCTAGTCATTTTGTGTTGAAGTAAAACCCACAGACCTATTTTATCTGTGCCTTTATTTTAAACGTGTAATATACATACTTACACAACATCCATCCATTTTCTAACTGCTTCATCTTATTCAGGGTCAGGTTGGAGTCAGAGCCTTTCCCTGCAAAGCAATGGGCGCAAGGCAGGGTACACCCTGGTCAGGACACCAGTCCACTGCAGGACACACACAGACACACACAC